TTGTAACTCATTTTGAATCTATGTACCTTTACCTGAATAAACATTACTAACATTATTATTATTATTATTATTATTATTATTATTATTATTATTATTATTATTATTATTATTATTATTATTATTATTAATATTATTATTATTCAATGTCCGGAGTCGTGACCCCATTACTGGGTCGTAAGGCCCTGATGAATGGGTAGCAGCTTCACAATAAATGAATGAATAAGGAAAGTGACAAACAATATTGATGACAATGAAGTTAATACGATTTTGAAATAATAATAATGAGAGAGAGAGAGAGAGAGAGAGAGAGAGAGAGAGAGAGAGAGAGAGAGAGAGAGAGAGAGAGAGAGAGAGAGAGAGAGAGAGAGAGAGAGAGAGAGAGAGAGAGAGAGAGAGAGAGAGAGAGAGAGAGAGAGGGGAGAGAGAGAGAGAGAGAGAGAGAGAGAGAGAGAGAGAGAGAGAGAGAGAGAGAGAGAGAGAGAGAGAGAGAGAGAGAGAGAGAGAGAGAGAGAGAGAGAGAGAGAGAGAGAGAGAGAGAGAGAGAGAGAGAGAGAGAGAGAGAGAGAGAGAGAGAGAGAGAGAGAGAGAGAGAGAGAAGGCGGAGGAGGAACTAGGCTAGGAGGCTAGGAACAGTCGCCAAAGAATTCTCAAAGAATTACTCGTTATTGCTATCTAAAATAATTAGACGAGCCAAAACTAAATACTACGAAGATAAATTTACCCAAACAAAGAGCAACATTAAAAAAACTTGGAGCACAATTTCACAAATATTGGGATCAAAGAAGATTTTAAATAACAAACCAACACTCCTGTCCAATAACGCTGGTCAGCTTTCAGCCTCTGATTCTGCTATTGAGTTCAATAGGTTCTTCTCTTCCATTGGTTCATCCCTTGCTAATGATATTCCATCTTCCAGTAGTGATGTTAATGACTATCTTACAGGTAACTATCCACAGTCTCTGTACCTAAAGCCTACTAATTCCAATGACATCAATGAGATAATCCTTTCCCTTAAAACCAAGTGTAGTGCCCTTGAGGTGATACCACCTTTAATTTACAAAAAAAAAACTCCAGATCTTTAGCCCCTGCTATTGCATTGCTCTTCAACAAGTCACTTGAACTCCAAACCTTTCCAGATATTCTAAAAAAAAAGCGAGAGTAACCCCTGTCCACAAATGTTGTGATCTCACAGATGTTAACAACTACAGACCTATATCAATCCTGCCTAACTTGTCAAAAATATTTGAAAAACTAATCTACAAGCAGCTTTACTCTTATCTAGCCAAACACAATATACTTAGCTCTTGCCAATATGGCTTCAGACCCAAAAAAAGCACTAACGATGCATTTATTAGTATGATTAACTTGATTCATGCAGCTCTTGATAAAAATGAGTTCCCTGTTGGGTTATTTGTGGACCTGCGTAAGGCTTTTGACACTGTCAACCACCAAAACCTTCTTCTTAAATTACATCATTATGGAGTATTGTCAGGCAACATCACCGTGACAAGGTAACTGAGGAAAGGAGGATAGAAGCACAAACTAGTGAATCTATACGATGGTACAACATGGTTGCAGCTGGCAATCCCAATCGTTATAATATGGCCGAAGAGGAGGAGGACGAGGGAGGGAATCAGTAATAGCAAGAATCCGTCTTGGATACAAATATCCATGGAGGTATGGAATGGAAACAACAGTTGATCAGCGAAGTTGCAGAATCTGTGGTGAGAGTGACGGACACCGCCTTGAACACTATCTACGTGAATGTGAACATCTGAGAGATATCAGAAATATGTGTAGAATAATAAACCCCACATTGTTTGAGTTAGGAAAACACTATTTGTCAAATATTAATGCTGTTCTTAAATGTTCAAACGATTCTTCGCGGCAGGGGGTCGTATTCCAGGGACCATAGGATTAAGGACTTGCCCGAAACGCTACGCGTACTAGTGGCTGTACAAGAATGTAACAACTCTTGTATATATCTCAAAAAAAAAAAAAAAAGATTTCCCCATTTTGCACCTGCAAGATAACGTAAGCTTTCAAGGGTTGATAGATGTTAATCTTCTTGTTTGAGGAGCTGTTCACTTGAGACAGTTAAGCAAGTCCCAGCTGTGTCTGGGTACAAGTGACAGGATGAACAACCCAGCGGGTTTTCTTCCTATTGGGGAGTGTTGTACATGCTGCTATGGCGGTGTGTCTACTCACAAGATGAGTGGCGCTGCCCAATACTGTCACTATGGCGGTGTGTCCACTCACAGGATGAGTGGCGCTGCCCAATACTGTCACTATGGCGGTGTGTCCACTCACAAGATGAGTGGCGCTGCCCAATAAACTCGCCCCTCGGGGCAAAATTAAAAAAATTTAAATCACTGCAATACCTCAAATCTTACCTTACTGACAGGCTCCAGTATGTTTCTGTGAATAATTCAATTTCTTCCACTCTACCCATCAACATTGGTGTTCCTCAGGGCAGCATACTTGGCCCTCTCCTCTTTCTCATCTACATTAACGACCTTCCAAATGCCTCCCAACACCTCAAACCAATTCTATTTGCTGACGACACAACCTTCATTTACTCCAGTCCTGATCCCCTTTGCTCTAAATGCCACAGTAAATACTGAGCTAAATAAAAAGTCCATCTTTGGCTAACTGCCAACAAACTCACCCTTAACATTGACAAAACCTTTTATATTCTGTTTGGCAATAAATCCTCTAATCAAATAAATCTCAAAATAAACAATACCCAAATTTGTAACAAATTAGATGGCAAATTCCTTGGCGTTCTCATTGACCACAAGCTGAATTTCCAGGGACACATTCTAAATATATCAAAAAACGTTTCAAAAACTGTGGGCATTCTTTCTAAGATCAGATATTATGTACCACGCCCTGCCCTGGTGACTCTCTATTACTCCCTCATCTATCCATATCTCAACTATGGTATTTGTGCTTGGGGTTCTACTACCCAAAATCATTTACGCCCTCTAATTACTCAACACAAAGCTGCTATTAGGACAATATCCAACTCTGGCCCCAGACATCACTCGGTACCCCTACTCAAATCTCTGAATATGTTAGATATTAAGTCACTGCACATTCTCTCATGTGTATTATACATATATAAAACGCTGAACTGTAATGCCAATCCTGACCTCAAAAGCTTCATAGAAGGTTGTAACAGAACCCATGAGCACCACACCAGAAATAAATACAGTTTTGATATTCCAAGAGTACGACTTAATCAAACTAGAAATGCTCTACAAATCAAGGGGCCCAGAATGTGGAATGACCTTCCCAACCATGTTAAAGACTGTACCTCTCTCAACCAGTTTAAGATAAAAACGAAGCACTACCTAATAAATTCCCTTTAACCTAGCTTATCCCTCTGTTGTCAACCCATGTCTGTTTTTTTTTTTTAAACCGCGCTGTCTGTCGACCTAATTGTATTTGTGCTGCTTTTTCAGCCATGTTAACCCTTTTTTATCTTTATTTTTATTTGTTCTCAACACTTTTATTCTTTATACTCAATTAGTATCAAGCTTTAGTCATTTAAGTTTTTCCTGCCCGAAACGCTTTGCGTAATAGTGGCTTTAGGCATTGTATGTACTAGCTCTATCTATAAATCCATCACTCTTTGTAAAATCTCTTGTATGTATGTACCTTACCTAAATAAACATTTATTATTTATTTATTATTATTATACACTCAGTAGTGTAGTCTACAATAGACTCATTCCTCTCAATGTTTGCTGATGATGTTCAAATTATGAGAAGGATTAAGACAGAGGAGGATAGCAAGAGGCTACAGGATGACCTGAACAGACTGAAGGATGGGTCCAACAAATGGCTACTAGAGTTTAACGCGATCAAGTGCAAAGTGACGAAGATAGGCGTAGGGAGCAGGAGGCCAAACACAAGGTACCAGCTGAGAGAGAAACTCCTTCAGCATTCAGGACGAGAGAAAGATCTGTGGGTTGATATCACACCTGACCTGTCCTCTGAAGCTCACATCAAAAGGATAACATCAGCGGCGTATGCTAAGCTGGCGAACACAAGAACTGCCTTCAGACACCTGTGTAAGGAATCATACAGAACCTTGTATACCACATATGTGAGACCAATATTGGAATATGCGGCTCCAGAGTGGAGTCCCAATCTTGTCAAACACAAAATGAAGTTACAAAAGGTTCATAGGTATGCCACCAGGCTAGTCCCCGAGCTGAGAGCAATGAGCTACGAGGAAAGATTACTGGAATTAAACCTCACGACACTGGAAGACAGAGGAGTTAGGGGGAGACATGATCACTACTTATACAATTCTCAGAGGAATTGACAGGGTAGATAAAGATAAACTATTCAACACTGGTGATAAGCGAACAAGGGGACACAAGTGGAAACTGAGTACCCAAATGAACCACAGGGACGTTAGAAAGAACTTTTTCAGTGTCAGAGTAGTTAAGAGATGGAATGCATTAGGCAGTGATGTGGTGGAGGCTGACTCCATACACAGTTTAAATGAAGATATGATAGTCCAGTAGGCTCAGGAATCTGTACACCAGTTGATTGACAGTTGAGAGGCGGGACCAAAGAGCAGAGCTCAACCCCCGCAAGCACAACTAGGTGAGTACAGTACCAAATGAACGTTTCACACATCTACGGCTTTGAATTGCTTAGCTCTTTCTCCTGATAACTACCTGCGCTACCTAACTAAACCTAGGAAACAATTACGAGTTTAGTTGGTGCTGACACCCGTCCTCTCTCAGAGCGGCGCCCAAACATTAGGTAGACATACTCTCCCGTTTTCCGTTTTGGGTCCTTTTTTGGACATGGAAATAAAATTTAAAAACTATAATTAAAACTAATTGAGATAAAAAGCAAAAAGTGAACTGAAGTAGAAAAATATATTGAAATAAAACACTGAAGTAGAACTTACGTGAAAAACTAAAAGTATTCAATTAATATCCTAACTTAAGTAAAGAAAAAGGTTTTAGAGGTCACCTGCAATCGTGTCTCTTTCCTGTTGCATTTTCCTCTCCTCTTGCACTATGTTGCTCATATAGGAAGGCGAGGCTTCCGCTGAACCCCCAAGTGAACCCCTCTTGGAAGACAAGGTATAGTGTGGATCAGGCTCCGTATGGACTCCCCATTATATCTTACTCTCCCACCTCTCTGGTACGTCTGTCCTAACTCGCTCATCATGCAAGTTCCACTCTTGAAGTTTGTCCTGTTAAATGCCCAGACCATCTTCCATCAGACCATCTTCGTCAACACGTAAATAACAGTTGTGAACCAGCACAGTTAACTCAGAATATTTGGGCCTCATTAATGCACCGCCTTAATTCATCACCTGCATTATATATCCTAGGAAATTCTTCACATTGTGAAGGATCCGTGGAGGAGACTGCTGCTTAATGTTACCAACACTGCCACACATGTTACCAACACTGCCATACATGTTACCAACACTGCCACACATGTTACCAACACTGTCACACATGTTACCAACACTGCCACACCTGTTACCAACACTGCCACACATGTTACCAACACTGCCACACATGTTACCAACACTGCCATACATGTTACCAACACTGCCACACATGTTACCAACACTGCCACACCTGTTACCAACACTGCCACACATGTTACCAACACTGCCACACCTGTTACCAACACTGCCACACATGTTACCAACACTGCCATACATGTTACCAACACTGCCACACATGTTACCAACACTGCCACACCTGTTACCAACACTGCCACACATGTTACCAACACTGCCACACATGTTACCAACACTGCCACACATGTTACCAACACTGCCACACATGTTACCAACACTGCCACACCTGTTACCAACACTGCCACACATGTTACCAACACTGCCATACATGTTACCAACACTGCCACACATGTTACCAACACTGCCACACCTGTTACCAACACTGCCACACATGTTACCAACACTGCCACACATGTTACCAACACTGCCACACCTGTTACCAACACTGCCACACATGTTACCAACACTGCCATACATGTTACCAACACTGCCATACATGTTACCAACACTGCCACACATGTTACCAACACTGCCATACATGTTACCAACACTGCCATACATGTTACCAACACTGCCACACCTGTTACCAACACTGCCATACATGTTACCAACACTGCCATACATGTTACCAACACTGCCACACATGTTACCAACACTGCCATACATGTTACCAACACTGCCACACATGTTACCAACACTGCCATACATGTTACCAACACTGCCATACATGTTACCAACACTGCCACACATGTTACCAACACTGTCACACATGTTACCAACACTGCCACACATGTTACCAACACTGCCATACATGTTACCAACACTGCCACACATGTTACCAACACTGTCACACATGTTACCAACACTGCCACACCTGTTACCAACACTGCCACACATGTTACCAACACTGTCACACATGTTACCAACACTGTCACACATGTTACCAACACTGCCATACATGTTACCAACACTGCCACACATGTTACCAACTCTGCCACACATGTTACCAACACTGCCACACCTGTTACCAACACTGCCACACCTGTTACCAACACTGCCATACATGTTACCAACACTGCCACACATGTTACCAACACTGTCACACATGTTACCAACACTGCCACACCTGTTACCAACACTGCCACACATGTTACCAACACTGTCACACATGTTACCAACACTGTCACACATGTTACCAACACTGCCATACATGTTACCAACACTGCCACACATGTTACCAACTCTGCCACACATGTTACCAACACTGCCACACCTGTTACCAACACTGCCACACCTGTTACCAACACTGCCATACATGTTACCAACACTGCCACACATGTTACCAACACTGCCATACATGTTACCAACACTGCCACACATGTTACCAACACTGTCACACATGTTACCAACACTGCCACACATGTTACCAACACTGCCATACATGTTACCAACACTGCCACACATGTTACCAACACTGTCACACATGTTACCAACACTGCCACACATGTTACCAACACTGCCATACATGTTACCAACACTGCCACACATGTTACCAACACTGTCACACATGTTACCAACACTGTCACACATGTTACCAACACTGCCACACATGTTACCAACACTGCCACACATGTTACCAACTCTGCCACACATGTTACCAACACTGCCACACCTGTTACCAACACTGCCACACATGTTACCAACACTGTCACACATGTTACCAACACTGTCACACATGTTACCAACACTGCCATACATGTTACCAACACTGCCACACATGTTACCAACACTGTCACACATGTTACCAACACTGTCACACATGTTACCAACACTGCCACACATGTTACCAACACTGCCACACATGTTACCAACTCTGCCACACATATTACCAACACTGCCACACCTGTTACCAACACTGCCACACATGTTACCAACACTGTCACACATGTTACCAACACTGTCACACATGTTACCAACACTGCCACACATGTTACCAACACTGTCATACCTGTTACCAACACTGCCACACATGTTACCAACACTACCAGGGAAGGACGGCCGTGTCATTCCGTAACCACGCAGGTTAAACAATATCTGCACTACGCCTTACGGGAGTTTTACCTGAATTTATCTGAGGGCTACTAACACTAGTGACCTCGACGAGGACATGACGCCGGCGGCTTGTCGAAGGTCCCCGCCCCCTCATTTGCTTTGATGATATTTTCCAGTTGGATAATTAATACTTTATACGAGTTTAGGGGTCCAAAAGAAGCATTAAGCAAACCTAACCCAACCTGATAGTTCCCTTCCCTAACCGAGCCTAGCCTAACCTAATCTAACCTTCCCTAACCGAGTCTAGCCTAACCTAATCTAACCTTCCTAACCGAGTCTAGCCTAACCTAATCTAACCTTCCCTAACCGAGCCTAGCCTAACCTAATCTAACCTTCCCTAACCGAGCCTAGCCTAACATACGAAAATATGAAATGCAAGTTTCTGTTTTATATACAGTTTGTGTACAAAGTGTTCCTATATACGGTGTGTACATAGTGTTCCTATATACGGTCTGTACAAAGTGTGTGAGAACAGTTACGTCCATATAACTGGAAGAGGTTTCAGCGCCCTACCGCAGGTGGTGGTGGGAAGGTGCCCAACTGGTTATGTCTGGTGGTGTTGTTGTCACTACCGCCGGCACGAGGCTATACTCCCTTGCGTCACTGCTGCTGTGTGTTCTACCTGACCATGGTAGTGCACACACACACACGCATACATGTCCTGTCCCCAGAGACCCACATCAAAAGGATATTATCAGCGGCATATGCTAGGTTGGCCAACATAAGAACTGCCTTTAGAAACTTGTGTAAGGAATCGTTCAGGATCCTGTATACCACTTATGTCAGACCAATCCTGGAGTATGCAGCTCAAGCCTGGAGTCCATACAAAAGGTTAGTCCTAGTTAAACAAAAGACAAAGTTAGAGCAGATTCAGCGGTATGCCACCAGGCTCGTCCCGGAACTGAGAGGCATGAGCTACGAGGAAAGGCTGAAGCTGAACCTCACGTCCCTGGAAAACAGAAGAGAAAGGGGAGACATGATAACCACCTACAAAATTCTCAGGGGAATTGACAGGGTGGACAAAGACAAACTCTTCAGCACGGGTGGAACACGAACAAGGGGACACAGGTGGAAACTGAGAACCCAAATGAGCCACAGAGACATAGAAAGATTTTTTTCTGTGTCAGAGTAGTTAGTAAATGGAATGCATTAGGAAGTGATGTGGTGGAGGCTGACTCCATACACAGTTTCAAATGTAGATATGATAGAGCCCAGTAGACTCAGGAACCTGTACACCAGTTGATTGACAGTTGAGAGGCGGGACCAAAGAGCCAGAGCTCAACCCCCGCAAGCACAAATCGGTGAGTACATGCTCTCTCTCTCTGTATATGTAATTCACAAGAAAATACCAATTTTCACAATATATATATATATATATATATATATATATATATATATATATATATATATATATATATATATATATATATATATGTCGTACCTAGTAGCCAGAACGCACTTCTCAGCCTACTATGCAAGGCCCGATTTGCCTAATAAGCCAAGTTTTCATGAAATAATTTTTTTTCGACTACCTAACCTACCTAACCTAACCTAACATAACTTTTTCGGCTACCTAACCTAACCTAACCTATAAAGATAGGTTAGGTTAGGTTAGGTAGGGTTGGTTAGGTTCGGTCATATATCTTCGTTAATTTTAACTCCAATAAAAAAATTGACCTCATACATAATGAAATGGGTAGCTTTATCATTTCATAAGAAAAAAATTTGAGAAAATATATTAATTCAGGAAAACTTGGCTTATTAGGCAAATCGGGCCTTGCATAGTAGGCTCAGAAGTGCGTTCTGGCTATTAGGTACGACATATATATATATATATATATATATATATATATATATATATATATATATATATATATATATATATATATATATATATATATATATATATATATATATATATATATATATATAACTGCTTGAAGCCAAAACAGCTTGGGTTTGGCATTCCTGAAGGGTATGAGGCAGCGGCTCGTATGCACCTAGAGCTTACATTTCAGAAGAAAAAGCTCTGATAAAACTGGATTTCAAAAATGCTTTCAATCTGGTAAGGAATGCAGTACTCAGTGCGGCTCATCGCTATTTTCCTTCCCTCTACCCGTTTGTAAACTCATGCTACAGCAAGAATCTAACTCTGTTATTCGGGGAACATGAAATTGAATCACAAGAAGGTGTCCAACAGGGTGACCCCCTTGCTCCTTTTCTTTTTTGCCTAGTTATCAAGGAAGTCACCGATAACCTGTCCAGTGAGCTCAACATTTGGTTTTTGGACGATGGTACTCTAGCTGGCTCCCCAGCCTCACTCCTGTGTGACATAAGAATAATTCAGGAGCAAGGAGCAAGCCTAGGCCTCACCCTGAACTATTCCAAGTGCGAAATAACCTCCACGAACCAGCACATAATAGCGAATAAAGGATGTTTTGCCTGATATCCATATAACCAGCCCTGAGGACAGCACACTCCTAAGAGCTCCTCTTGGAGGGAAGGCCATCGACGAAGTCCTTGGTAAGAAGATCACTGACCTGAAG